CCCCAAAACCCCAAAACCCCAAAACCCCAAAACCCCTATTAAATAAATTTTATTGATATTTATAATTTAGCAAGCATCGTCTAAATTTTTCTTGCTCTACAATCCCAGTAAGTTAATGCATCAGATTGCCAACAGTAGAGTTATTTTGTAGAGAAGTAAGCGTCCTTTTCTCCCCAAAGCAAGGTGTATCTAGTTGCTGTACCCTCTGAGGTGTGCTCAGCCCAGCCTTGAGAGGTGCACCCTCTAAGCTCTGCCTTTGAGGAGGATTCCGGCTCTTGTTTTCTTCTTGATGTCTCTGGTAGCCAGGTAGATAATCCTTAGGCTTTGGTCTCTTATTTTTCCTCACAATTTTTAACTTGTTCTTCTGAAGTTGGTCCAAGCTTGGCTTGGGAGACAGGCAATCAAACTTCTGTATGAACTTATTTTGGCAAAGCGATATGTTTCTTTGAAGTAGAGCTAGAGTTTAGGCAAGACAAACCTTTGTAAAAAGCAAGAATTCTTCTTTGGAAGTTCTGTGGGATTTGGTTGAAGAGTTTGAGAGCTCTCAAGATTTTGGTAAGAGATGGATGATGGAATAAAATCTTGCCTCAGGATTGATTCTGATCTAAAATCTGGCTGATCCCTTCTTTTAGGTAACTCTTCTAGAAGGTCCTTTCTAGGTGAAAGAGATTTAATCTCCCTTCGAGTTATCCCATTGATTCTATGGTCATGTTGAAAGTTATCCATTCTCATTTTAAACATCTTTCTGCTCTTTAGATTTACAGGAAATTTCAGCAAGGAATTGGTTATGCCTGATTTCCTTATTTTCTTATTCTATTGCCATCAATTTCAATCTTGTAGACCTTTAATTTTCCTGTAGAATTATTTTGAGCAAGCTCGCCTACAAATAAGCTTATAACTTACGCTTAGGTTGGTGATTTCTAGTCATAGAACCAGTAGCATTCACACTAGACTTCCTATTTGTAAAAATAGAGTCAGTGGATTCTAGAATGTCTCGATCGAGATTATGCTTAGTCTGGAGATATTCCTCGTTCAAGATATTGACACTATTTCTGTAATCTTTAAAAAGCCCCCTGGATTCTAAACCTGGCCTGTAAGTGGATTCATGAGTACTGGCCTCTGTCGGGTCTATGGATGCCAAACCAGTGCTTACCTATTCTATAATTCTGGGTCTTCTGGTCCTGTCTGGGCTCAGAAAATATCATCGTTGCTCTATCCTTGTTCTATGTAATGTGAAGAATTACTTTGAGATTTTAATGAAATTTGGGAGTTGAGGGATTTTTAGATAGTCTTGGGCTTAATGGGGAAAATGGGGTATGCCAAAATGGGTGATGGGGGTATTAGAGGGGGAAGGGAAAGACTGGGTTGAGGGATTGGGATATGACAAGAGAATTTGGGAAAGAAATGGGATAAAGTGTTAGTGTGAGCAGGGAGAATATATTTTTGGCTTAGAGATGACTAGTGGCTTAAAAAGAGAGTTTGCTAATTGAAAAAGGAAGAAGTTTTTGGAGGTGGATGAAAAGGAGAAATTGGATTTTGCAAAGTATCTTCTCTTGATTTTGGGAAATCTTTATTTCCAGTTGAGAATTTATTGTATGAGTTGGTTAAATTGAGATATTGTACAAAAATCCACTAGAATATATTGCAATAAAATACCTATAAAGACTAGTTTCGGATAATTTTTACAAACTGCTAAACTTTCACAAATCCCTTAAAAAACTACTACCATTAAAATCCACTCTCCACTCTCCGAAACATGATAAATCCCTTACAAAATTTTAAAAGTCAAATTTTTATTCATAAGCTAAACCTCTAATCCCAATCAAATTAGCTTACATCCCCAACCGAATGCTTAAAATCTCCTGTAGACAACCCAACCATGCCAGTTTGGCCCCAATTCTCAATATAGCCAGATTCAGTATTAAATAACCTCTGCGGTTGGAAACAACGAGCATGGGAACTACCTCCTTGTCAACAGAAGAATTTTAGACACAGATAAATTACTTTTTTACGATGACTAATGCCATGGGGTTATACAAGTATAGTATAGAGAATTAAACCTTGATACATGATACCCTCCTGATGGACTACAAGGACTTACCTCTGTCCTATTTGATCAGAACCTACTGGGGTTAGTTAGAAATAGTTTTATTCAGACATAATCTTGAATCCTCTGAATTATCTTTCTCTTGGTTAGGAGCACTTAGAAGTGCTTCTGATTTTCTACACCCTATAAAAGTTAGTAATGCAGTCTGAGGTATTTCAATTTAGATTTTAACGTATTAGGACAATGAGTCATATCAGCTGAGATTTAGAAAACCATGTACCAACTAAGCAGGAGCTTTAATAATAATATTTTCACAAAAACTGAAGTTTTACTATTCCACTTAAATAGATTTCTAGTATTTTTAGTGTTAAAAATTTATAACAAAACAAGATATGATATTCTGCTTACAGTTAGGCTCCCCATGAGGTTGTAAGTAATTTGTATGTTCAACATTGTTAGTAAAGTTACTGGAAAGTCTAGGGATCATCCTTTGGCCACTCCCATATCTGTTCATACCAGATTCACCATGCCTAAGTTATTAGAAAATGTTCTGAAATTTTAGACAGAAGATATCTGAAAAGACACTTAGAGAAGAGATTTATTTACCTGACAGATTCAAAACTTTTAAGAGAGTACTCTGGAAACATATTATCGTTTGGATAAAGTGGCTGTTCATACCGCCTTTGAGGGCTGAAGATTTTTACATCAATCGACTTTCTGCTACCTTTCAACCTATTGTTCTCAAATAAATATTTCAGTTTGATGTTTTTAACCTTTCTGATCATTTTCTCATTCATACTTGTATTATCGTTCATTTCTTTGGCTAAACTTTCAGTTAGGGTTAAATTTTCAGGCAATATTGGTCAAATATCCATTAAAGTTAATAATGCAAGCGATGGTGTAGAAAATTCATTACTAAACTTGGACTAAAACCTCGATCAACTAGCCCTGGACTAGTAAAAATTCTGAATTTTTTTTGAAGAGGATTAATACCAAAAGTCTTGAAATATTGTTCATATTTTAGAAAACTTCAAAAATGAAAGCTCTGAAATATGAAATCTGTATTTTATGTATACCTCAAGGCCCTCTAGCATTCGTTAGCAACAATAACTTTTTAGGAGAGATTATTGCTTCAAAGAATAAAAGCAGACTATCAAATTTGAAACTCTAGGAGGTACCTAAACCAGATTTCAGAACTTCATAATTTCTGTGTGAAATACAAATCATGGCTCGATCGATTTGGGTAATAATACCCAAGCTAACTCTTCTATATTTTTGGTCTTAATGTTGGCAAAAGATCAGAAAATAGGGACTGAAATCTAGAAATTTGCAGGTAAAGTTATTAGCAACCAGAAAGGAGCTTAGTTCAATATAATTGCTGCTGTTTGTGTACCTATTTTGTTCAGAAAACCTTCACTGTAGATAGGCTTCTCTACATTCATCTAAAAGTTTGAGGATTGTAGAACTATTGCTGAATAGAATTAAGAGAGCTAGTTCTTTGAAATATCTAAAACTATCGAACTTTATCAATTTTAAAAATGGCTGGCAAGGCATAAAATTGTGAAAATTATATATGGAAATGATACACGAATTCCAGAAATGCACTGACGATTGACAATTTTCAAGCTTCATTGGTATCTTTAAGTAATATTAGACCTGCCAAATCTTTACGAAGGCCTGATTCCTGAAACAAGCTGTTCTAAGGGCTAGTTGAAAACATATCTTCACAAAATACCGTAATCGCTCCATACTTTATTGATATACCTTCAATAATAATTATGAGGAGAGGGGTTTTGGGGTTTTGGGGTTTTGGGG